GCTACATCACCAACCTCGTCTGCCAACACCACCCAAGCCGCCCTCCTCACTTCATCCAAGGCTTCCTATTCCCTCGCCCCCTCTCCTATCCTCTGGAACTCCCTACCTCAATCTGTCCCGCTCTCTCCTACTCTTCAGGAGAGCCTATCGGGAGCCTCAACCTAACAACTGGACTGTCACTGTACGGCTGCAAACAACTAATCGACCAAGTGGATCATAATCGATGATGGAAAACGTCAACTCTTTCCAATCATCGATTAGTTGACTTTCGATTAGTTGGCCTCTGCTCGCGCCGCTTCTTATCCCCAACTCGCTGCTTCTCCTCACGGACCCGCTGCTGCACGCCCATCCACGATCAGCACGATCAATCAAGGCGGAGCAGGCATGGGGGGGTGGGGCGGGGGCAGCTCCGGGAGACTGCTCAGGTAAGCCTGAACTTTCCTCCCACATAGTGCTGTACAATGTACTGCTGGGATTTGTAGTCCTCTACAGCTCATTCCTCACAGTTATTACCATTTCTATCACCAGCCCTTGCATCTTAGATTGTAACATGACAGAGCGGGGTCAGTGCACGGTGAAGCGCACAGCGCGCAGAAGTCGCCAACTGTCTGCAGAGTCAATAGCTACAGACCTCCAAACTCCATGCGGCCGTAAGATTGGCACAACAACAGTGCGTAGAGAGCTTCATGGAATGGGTTTCCGTGGCCGAGCAGCTGCATCCAAGCCGCACATCACCAAGTGCAATGCAAAGCGTGGGATGCCGCGGTGTAACGCACGCCGCCACTGGACTCTAGAGAAGAGGAGGCGTGGTCTCTGGAGGGACCAATTAGCTGTTATAGCGGCAAAGGGCGGAGCCAACCCAATACTGAACCCTCCGGACTAAGACTGGGATGCCATTAGAGTTCATGTGCGTGTAAAGGCGTCCCAATACTTTTGGCAATATAGTGCATTTCCCGCACGTTTCTTATTTATTGAACACAATCCGAACGAACGATTTCACACAAGAAAATAAATCTTTTATATATAAACAAATCTGACACAATATAAACTATGATACTTGGGCCGGACCAATCAGAAGCCG